CACATACAGTGTCAAACTATTTCAAATGTTATTTTTTTTTATATAAGCAAATTCGACTGCAATTTTCATAACAAGCAAAAGACGTCACAAAGAGTTAAATGATGCAATTGGAGAAGGAAAGCAGAAAAAAAAAAGAAAGGTCAAAATGCTTTATCCAATTTAAAAATAAGTCCAAGTTTTCTTTATAGACAGAGTAAGATCAAGTCACTCCTCTACCGAAAATCCCCAGTGACCTCCTACCTTAATCAGGGTAGAATCCAGTATCTTTACTATGGCTTAAAAGCCCCAAATGACCTGGCCTCCAACACTGTTTTGCAACACATATATGCAGGCTTCTGACAACAGGGCAATAGCACTTACTCTTATAACTCCTAAAGGCTGTAACATCTTTTAGATCTCTACCGAGCAGGCCTGCTCATCCACTTTTATTAGGACTTTGCTCAAATATCTCTTGATCAGAGGAGCCTCATCAGCTGACTCTATTTAAAACAGGATATTTAGTTCACTCTTTGCCTACCCTGCTTTATTATTTGCTGTTATAATCATCCTAAGACAAAATATTATATGTAAGTTAGTTTATGTTCTGTTCGCCTCATGACTTTTTTGTTCACTGCTATATGCTCAATACCTGGAACAGTCCTTAGCACACAGTAGGTGCTCTGTCAGTATGTAATTAATCAGTGAATACTGAATTCATAAACATAGAACTGAGAATCTAAGCAGAGTACACTAAGTTCTTGTAAGAATGTTAATGTTAAAAAATAAGTTTCTTTTGAACAATGTTAAAATCTAAAATAAAATAAAACATAGCTTATACATGAAAAGTCATGACAGAGAAGGACAAGAATTACAAAGTAGCTTAACATAGGGTGATGGCTTTATATCAATATGTATGTATATGTATAGCTGAATTACTTCGCTGTACACTTGAAACTAACACAACAGTCTAAATCAACTATACTCCAACATAAAATGAAAAATTAAATTAAAAAAGAAATTAACTTAATCCATCACAAACTTCCTGGATTCTAATTATTTAAAACCTTACAAAGTGCTGCTTTGTGAAGAGAAATACGCAAAACAATATGATTAACTCATATCTGATAAAGGAGGCTCAATATTAATGTTACAAGTTTTATGTTATTGCATTAAATTTGCTTAAAGAAATAATAAAAATAATTTTTAACAACTTAAAGTGGGATTCAAAGGTGTAACATTTTGCACATCCAAAAAAATATTATAGCGCCAATAATGAAGAGATATGCACTAGAATACATATATAATCTAAATAACATGACATAAAAAGATACCACGCAGTGGAAACTCAGTGGAATTCAGTGGAAAAGGGACATTTTGAACTCATTCCTTTTAGTATTTGACACATTAAATAAGGAAATGGGGGAAATGAACAATGATTAATGAACATATCCCAAACTCTTCTTTCCACAAATAGGACACTATAAATGATAAATAAATCACAAAGAAATCTCAATAGTTTGGACTAGAAATGAAAGTAGGAAGTATAGTGAAAGTTGAAAAAAAAAAAAAGGCCAGTACTTAAGACATATAACAACTAGGTATTATCTTCGTGCTGCTCTGTAACATCCTAGACAGGATTTTCAGCCTCTTTCATGAGTAGACCACCAAATAAGAACACCCACAAAATGTTTCTTGTGGAGGAACTTCCCAGAGGGCATGGGTGGGTCTGATATTGCACAAATCTATCCATACCCCTAGCTTTCTCATTGTATCAGCTACTACCATACTTCTCTCAGGTAGCGCTACTGGTAAAGAACCCGCCTACCAATGCAGGAAATACAAAAGACACAGTTTGATCCCTGGGCGGGGGAAGATCCCTGAAGGAGGGCATGGCAACCCACTCCAGTATTCTTGCCTGGAGAATCCCATGGACAGAGGAGCCTGGTGGTCCACAGTCCATAGAGTCGCACAGAGTCAGACACGACTGAAGCAACTTAGCACACAACATGCATCTCACTTCTTGGAGTTTCAAATCTTTCCCCTCTGTTAGGCAGAGGAGCTTGTCTCTTCCTCAGGGGACTGGAGGATTTAGGTGCTAATCTAAGCACTTAGTCATAGTTTATTTTTCCCAACCAAGTCGTGTTTCAATTTAAGAGGCAATCTGGTGCCATCTGTTAAACACTTTTTCCACTGTCTTATTACCAACAGAGATTGAAGACATTAAAACAAGCCAAGAATTAAAATGGTTTCCTCCCGCTCTGTTGCCTATATGATAATAGATTTGGCCAACCATGTGCTTAGGCCATTTGGACTTCCAGATCTTGGTGCTTCTTGCCCCTTAATTCAACAAAACCAGTGTGGTGTGAAAACAATCTTGGCTAGGGTGGTGGTGAAGATCACAGGCTTTAGAGTTGGGGTTTTGGTTTTGAGACTTAGCTGTATGACCTCATACAAGTTACTAATTTGTCTGAATCTCATTTTCCTTGCCTGGTATAAAGAAGGAATCAATATACAACTTGTACAGATGTTTATGAATTAAATAATAGGCTCATACACCATTTTTTTTTTTACAATGTCTCCCTTTTTATGCAAAATGGGGCCTGATAGGAATCTATGTGAGAAATGCAGACATGCTGGCCAAAACTGAGACCCACAGGATCAGAGTTTGCATTTTACCAAGACCCTTGGGTGATTCTTATGTCCACAGAAGTTTGCAAAGAACTGATCTGGTCAATAACATATGGGAAAAGAGAACAATTCCTTAAGAAAATTACCTGTTGATTTTCTCATATGTTAACATTTTATATGTGTTTTTCTCCTATGCTATTCAATACCTTGTTTTTTTTTTTAACTAGGCAAACTTGGGAATTTCAATTCCTTCTTTAAAGACTTTCATTCATATTGAAAATATTAATAATAAATCAAATAGAAGAAAAGCCAGCCTATTCTTTTCATGGCCTTTGTACAGCCCTAGTTTTTTACCCAGGCAACCTCCAGTTTCGGGAAAATGTACATACTGTCAAAAGCCACGAGACAGGGACAAGGATTAACACTGAAATCTGCAGAAAAAGTTATGCCTGCTCGCAGTTCTGTGACACTCCACCAGGCTTTTCTAGAACACTCTTCTCAAGCTCTAAAAATACAGATTAATCCGTTAACTTGTAAATCTGTGAAAACCAAATGATTGTTATACAGAAAAGTTCCTAGTGCAATGCCCAGTGTATAATCAGTGCTTAAAAAAATGTTAGTCATTTCCCTTCCTGTTTACACTTACTCTATTGTATTTATCTTTTAATTGTCTATATTCCACATTAGGCTGTGAACATCAGAGGGATGAAATTTATTTTTTTAGATATCTGTGTCATATATATCTTCATACATACCTTTAACATACATACATACATACATACATATGTCATACATACCTTCAACATAATTTACCTATTACAGATAATACAAAATTTCTATGTTTAGCTCTTTTTAGTACATTTAGGTAAACCAGGACCAATGACTGAGTGAAAGATTTATTTATTGAATTATTAGACAAATAATTGTGCAGCAAAATTAGGTGTCAGAAACTAAAACAGACATTGGATACAAAAACAATGATAAGCAAAACCTCATATATTATCTCAACCAGAATGCAAAATTAAATTGTGATAAGTGCTGTAAAAGACGCACATGGTACTCTAAGAACATACTGAAAGAAAGTGAAAGTTGATCAGTCCCTCCGACTCTGCTACCCCAGGGATCGAACCCAGGTCTCCCACATTGCAGGTGGATTCTTTGCCAGCTGAGCCACAGGGGAAACATAAGAATGTAGTAGGTGAGATAAAAGTTAGAATAAGAACTGCTCAGCAAGATTGTCTTCTTGGCATATTTTCCATTGGTCTGGTATGTCACTATATTCTACCAATGTCCTTTTCATTTTTTTGGAATTTCTCTTAGCTTAGAAAATGGCCTGAGGCATTGCTTCCCGAAGACCATTGTTCAAATGAACCTTTTGTAAGATGTTTAGGTGTAGAGAGATGAATAGGGCCGCCAGTGTCTTCTTCTTCAGCCCTCTTAACAAATTGGTATTGATTATCCTGTCAGAATAGTTCACATACTGCCACTCTGGGAAGACAAGTGAGTCATAGAACAGTTGCGTTCAGCGACATTCGTGACATAATGGAGGTAGATGGGGGACACTCCGAGCTCACCCAGCTAAGGAGACAGGGTGAGCTCAGTGAGGCCATCAAACTTTCCATAAGAGGACACAGGTTTCATCCCATTGTGGCGTGATGATGTCAAAGGAAAACACTTATCGTACAATTTTTTTTTCTATTGGAATTTTACTTAAATTATCTCCAGATGATAACCATGGACCCCCTGCATCGGGAATCCCCCTGTATGCCAACAGTAAATTCGCGATTCTGTTTGCGGTCTACCAACGAGGAAGAGAGGTGAGTGGCACTCAGTGAGTCAAGCAATGAATTCACAGGACGCTCGGGCTGAGTAGTAACGGGCAGGGGGTGAAGCCAGGCCTTCTCGCTCTCCCCTAATTGATGCCCTACCTGTTCCTGTAGTAATACTGCTGGGCTAAACTCTTCGACCGGGCTTGCAGCCTGGCTAACGTGGCCATAGCCTCGGCTCGCCCGCTGCCCCTCCGAGTGACTATCGGTCTCCTAGGCAACCGGGCTAAACCATTCCACCGACCCCGGGGATTCAACTTTCGTTGACTTCACATTTCCCCCCAAACAAACACTCTTTCAGCTTCCGGAACAGCAGAAAGAAAAACTAAGAAACTTTGCTTATTAAAGATTTCAAATTATTGGCCCCTCTCCCTTCTATGAGCAAAGAAGCGGTGGAGGGGGGGGAGGAGGACTAATGGTTGCTCCCAGCTTCCGGTTTCCGCTTGCTGTCGGCTTCCGGAAGCTCAGCTCAAAATGCTGAACTGCTACTGGGAAGTCGCTGGTGGTGCGGTAGTTGGAGTCTGTTCTCGGGCCTGAGCCTCGAGGCCAGGCTCTTGGGTGTCGTTAATGTTCGGGGCCGCCGGGCGCCAACCGATCGGAGCTCCAGCCGCCGGGAACAGCTGGTGAGGCTGGCCGCCCTGGGGATGGGAGATCCGGAAAGGGTGTGATGGCCGGGGGCCGCTGGACCTGGAATGGAAGGGGGAGGGAGTTGTGATGGATGATCTGAAGACCTTTAGGCCTTGCTCTCTTTTCGTTCCTGGGATGGACGCAGTTTAAGGAAGGCGTGGAAGTGTGTGCTAAAGATTTGCGAAGGAATACAGTCAATGCTTGCTGATTGCTTGTCTACTACGCCACAGTAATGTAGAAGGAAAGCTTTCTGTACCCCCGGAGCAATTCATTTCTTCGTTGACTGTTGACAAGACGAGGATTACAGAAGAATCTATCTTACTATAGGCATTATTTCCTCATTTTCCTTTTTAAATTTGCAAGATTGTACCAGGTGTTTTCGAAGATCAATTCCCAGAAATCTAGACTTCTGGAAGTTTAGAAGTGGAGGAGACTTTGCCTTCTTACCCCTTTTTTTTGGAGTAGGAGTAACCTACCAGTTTCTGTCCCTTGAACGTTCCATTCTAGTTCAAATGAGATGTGCATGGGATGTCCCCTGAGAACTTAACAATGTCAGGGTTCAATTTAGGATTCGACTGCAGTGTTATACCGCTAAACCACTTTAGAATAATAAACTGCTTTGACTTGGCAAAGTTCTTTCACAAATTACTACGTTTTATCTTTATGAGGGCCCTATGATAGGAGATTATCAGGAGATAGGATAGGAGATTAACAGAATATTTAAGGGACTTGTTCAGTGTTGCCATGCAGCCTTTAGCCCTAGAGCTGGAAGCTGGGTTTTGGATTTCTACTTGAAAACTATTTCTACTCCTGTTTTTCTCACAAGACGTTTTCCTCCAAGTATACCCAAGACGAGCAGTGAAACAAACAAAATTTCCACTGACATTCTCAAACATAAAGTTGAACAACAGGTGAAATGCAGCTGAAATGTGTCAGTCCATTCCTAGATTCCACAGCAAATGAGAATCTGAGGAATTCTAGTAGTCAGTGATCTCCAAGAATTTCTTTTGCATCACCTATCATTGAATAAAGAATGTCTTGCTTGGAATGTTTTGAATGAGATCAGATCATTCTGTAGTTCTTTTTATAATGAACAGACTTGGTTACACTCTTTTGAAAAATTATTTTAGTTGAAATATAGTTAATTTACAATATTGTATTAGTTTTAGGTGTTCAGCACTGTGATTCAATATTTTTACAGATTGTACTCCATTAAACATTATTACAAAATAATGGAGATGGGGCAAATTAGGGGTATGAGGTTGAAATACAAGCTAACTATGTACACAATAGATAAGCAACAGGGATACAAGGTATAGCACAGGATTATAGTCATTATTTTGGTTATGCTCCTTTTAAATACATTTTCCTGTGAGAAAAATAAGGAGCACGTTTTTTAAATGAGCATTTTATTTTAATGGTAATTAGCACAAAATAAAACACATAGTTCTTAAGTGTTTAGTATTTTTAGTTTTGGCAGTTGTATATGCTGTGTAACCACAACACAAAGCAAGATATAGGACATTTCCATCATCCCAAGCACGCGTCCCTCTCCAGATTACCTTTCTTAATGTTTCAGCATCTTTTTAAGAGGGGGAGACAAAATGTGCCCTGTAGATTGGTCTGCTCTTGCTGTAGTGATACTGATTTGTAGGATAGATGACAATTTAGTGGAATAATATGATTTTTTAAACTCCTCTTCCTTCTTCTATCCAAATCATGGTTAGGTACCTCTTTATAAGGGAAGATCCTTTGGAGTAGGAAATGACAACCCACTCCAGTATTTTTGCCTGGAAAATTCCATGGACAGAGGAGCCTGGGGGGCTGTAGTCCCAAGGGGTCACCAAGAGTCGGACATGACTGAACACACACACACACCCTTTTTGTAATATAGAGAACCTTTTTCAGTTCTCTAATTTACTTGAGATGGAATACATCCTTTCTTATGGCATTGGAGTATAACATAGTGCCTAGCATGTTATTGGTGTTTTTGAATAAAATTCTTAAATTATGCCTGATTTGACAGAATGAGTGTTCCAGAAATTTAGATCCTGTATTTTCTAGTTTATCTGTGCGACCATCTTGTTATTCAGACTTTCTTAATGGAATTTTCTTTTTCATTCATTCATCAGACATTGCCTGTACTATACATGTGTGTTTTATCCCAATGAGGAAATCTCAGTGCCATTCAGGATGCTACTTAGTTGGTGTAGTGAATTGGTGTCAGCTTTTGTGTATACATGTCATCTCATGTATTGGGTTGCCAAGAAGTTTGTTCGGGCGTTTTTTCCTACAGTGTTAGGAAAATCCTGGACAAACTTTTTGGTCGACCCAAAAATCTTTTGAAATAGGTACTGTTATTCTTTGCATTTTAGAGATGGCAAGACAGGAGCAGATGTTGTTTAAATATTAATAACTTACCCAAGCATCCTATTTGTAGTACTATTCTAGTATATCTGGGCTTCCCTTGTGGCTCAGCTGGTAAAGAATCCGCCTACAGTGCAGGAGACCTGGGTTCAATCCCTGGGTTAGGAAGATTCCCCTGGAGAAGGGACACTTCTAGTATATCTAAAAAAAAAATTTCTTAGTTATCCTAGTGTACTGCCTGTGTGTCTGAATGAGATACCTTATCACACGGAATATATAAACTGGAAAGTATATGCACAGATTTGTTAACTACACCTGATGTAGTTAACTCCCACCTTGACTTCAACCTTTTCTCCAGTGTCTAGGTTAGTTTTTCAATTTTCAGGCACCACGTGGGTAAGTGTAGAGGATTTCTCTCTTTCTTAATCTTTTGTTAAAAAGTAGAACTGATATTTTATAAGTTAAAAGCCTAAGGAAGAAAAGCTTTATACAGTTAAAAAAAATCCCATGATTATTGTGTGTGTCAGGAAGTATGTTTTTTGTAGAAGTTATTCTTGTAAGTCTTGATAGTTCATATTTTTATAAAATCTTTATAGCTGAAAGTGTCTGTCTGCCCTTCCTGCCACCTCATACACATGTTTGAAAGTAGGGTCAAAGAGTGAACTAAGTCAGAAAGAGAAAGACAGATGTTGTATATTAATGCACACATATGGAATCTAGAAAGATGGTACTGATGGACATATTTGCAGGGCAGCAGTGGAGACGCAGACATAGAGAACAGACTTGAGGACACAGTGGGGAAAGGAGAGGGTGGGATGAACTGAGAGAATAGCATGGAAACATACATCACCGTATATAAAACAGATAGCTGGGGGGAGCTGCTATGTGACCCTGGGAGCTCTCACCCCAGTGCTCCGTGACAGCCTAGAGGGGTGGGATGGAAAGGGAGGTGGGAGGGCTTTGGAGGGAGGAGACGTATGTATACCTGTTGCTGATTCATGTTGTTTTATGGCCGAAATCACAATATTGTAAAGCAATTATCCTCCAATAAAAAAAAAAAAGAACGTAAGGTCTAAAAAGTATCTCTTGGTACTTAAAACGTTAACCTACCTTTTCAAAATTGATTTATTTAATGAACAAATCACATTTAGAATTTTACATGCAGTTACTACTTTTTACTTTATTAGTCATTTTTATTTAAAGTCAACTTTTGAGCTTTTGGGAAAGATTTTAAAGCTTGAACTCAACAAATTTTTCAAGTTAATTATTGATAATGTAATTATCAAATCATTATTGATGTATGAAGCTACAGTATCTGTTAGTTTCACTTTATGTGTCTGCTTTAAAAATAGCCATGACAAATAAACTATATTGATTCTGGACCTTTTCTGCTATAATTTCTTTTCTATTTGGTATTTTGATTTCTTCAGGTCTGTAAAACTGCGTAGTGAAAACTTTAGGTCTGGAAAACTACTTTTCAATAACTGCTGTTTTTTTAATCTGACCGTTTTTTTTATGGTCAGTTTCATACTCTTAGGTTTGTCTCAGTCAGTTTTCCATTTCAATTTGAAATCTGAATTGTCCAAATTTTCAGTGAAGTCATATTTTTCCTTTGTTATTTGTGCGTTCATTTAGTCCTTGATTGATTTGTTCACCTAGCTGTTTAGTCGCTTAGTCTTGTGTGACTATTTGTGACCCCGTGGACTGTAGTCTGCCAGACCACTCTGTCCATGTGATTTCCTAGGCAAGAATTATGGAGTGGGTTGCCATTTCCTCCTCCAGGGAGGGGATCTTCCCAACCCAGGGATCAAACTCAGGTCTCCTGCATAGGCAGGTAGATTCTTTACCTAGACTTTTTTTTAAAACATCTGTCAAGCATTATTTTAGGTACTTGTAATTAATATTCAGTGGTCTTCATTCTCATTCCTATTCTAAGAATTCAGAATATGTTATATACTCAAAAGTATTGAGTAGTCACCATGTATAACCAATGCATGAGACTCATTTCCCAAATATTAGAAGGTTGCCTAGATGTGTTTATTATATGCTATGAATATTATTATATTATGAAATGTTTTTTAGACTTTATTTTTGTTTTAGACTTTGACTTTCTTTCACTTAGGCAGTTTTTCATTCAGTGGTTTATATCTCAAAAGTGAATACAGTGTAAGGAAAAATGTTTGAATAACTCCTGAAGTCATTAAATGAAGAAAAAGAATCAAAAGAATGATCTTCAAATGTAAATCACTGTTTGGAAAGTTGAGTTAGAAAATCACTGTGTGAAAATAGAATTTGATTTTTTTTTCTGAAGCCTTCCATGTATGATCGGTTTTTTTGTCTTACTGGCAGTAGGGTAAGGAGGGAGGCAAGGTTTCTGAGGGCTCCCCTGTGACAGAAATGACCAAGTAGCAGCTGCCAGCAGTACCTCCAGTTGAGAGCAAGTCAGTAGAACTTTGCTCCCATCATGGGAAATGAGTTTTTCTGTTTGATGGCAAATCTTGTGACTCTTTACTTGGAAGGATGATATCCTTTCTTTACTTTTTTTTTTTCTCTTGTATCTATATTATTATGATAGGAATAGGTCAAACACACAGCATTACTTTTTTTTTTTTACTAAGAGGGTTTTTTT